ATCATAAGCAAAAAGAAACCCCTCACTAGACCTCTTGTCGAATCATCAGACACAAGTGAATATCTCCTATCCCGGGAGATTTCTGAGGGGGACTCTACACAACCTCAACAATAGGCCCAATAACAACCCTACCGCCTAATCAATGAAGCTACCTCCTCTTTTGGGTCGTCTGATGGCTCAGAGGAGGTAGTAAGGCATCGGAACCATCTCCCCCACCTGATGCAACTCTGGCCTCAACAGCTGCTCCTATCAATGTAGAAGAGGATGACGAGGTCCCGGATGACGGGAGAGGGGGTGATACCAATGTGGGTGGTCTTGCTAGATCAAGGAAGCCCCAGGTATGGGCATATAGATTCGTGAGTGAGAAAACATACATCAAATTTCGGGAATAGTGGCCCCACAGGTCGCTCACCCTTGAGCGACAGTTTATAGAAAGAGATCTCCTTCCTCACAATCCAAATGTCAAGAGACAGTTTGAGGAGAGAAAAGGGTGGAAGTACTTCACCAGCAAGGTTCCGGATGCCAATGAGTACCTTGTCAAAGAGTTCTACGCAAATGTTGCCCACATCAAAAAGGGCACCACTGTGACAAAGGTACGGAACTTGAAGATACGGTTTGATGGCCACACCTTGAACCAATATGCCGGTTTTGAGGATGTTGAAGTTGTACAGTATCTGGAGAAGATGGCCCTAGATGAAGCAGCCCGGCCTTGGCTAGCAGAAGTAATAGCCATCCCATGGACAACACCGGCCTGGCTCGCAGCTGGAGTCCTAATCGCCAGAAACACCCTCATCTTTGAAGCAAAAGGGTGGTACACATTTGTATGCAGCCGGCTTGATCCTAGCCAGCATGATAGTATCATCTCACTCTCCCGGCGATCCTAATTGTGTCAATCATGGCGGGGTATCAAATCAATCTAGGGAACCTCATGTCCCACCACATCTCCAAAGCAACTGGAAAAGAAGAGAGGTCCTACCCCTACCCCAACTTCATCACTATGTATCTCGAGGACTAACGGGTAGAGAAAAGGCACTATGACACGAAGGTGAAACCGAAGAAACCTTTCTCTTGGTATATCCTCCAGTGACCGGACAACCCTAAAGAAAAGGGTAAAGCCACTACCTCCACTGGCCAGTCTGAAGAGCCAAGGGTAGTGGCCACCGGGTTAGAACCTTCCATAGTAGAGGGACCTTCAGCTGCCATGCCTCCTCCTTCATCCAGGCCATCCATTACTGTGCCACTATCTGTGCCCTCATCTTCTACTTACCCCAGACTGCACTGCGGGTTTCTTAGACCTTATCCAGCATCAACAACTGGATGCAGGTAGCTACATCAAAGCTGTTTGTCTTATTCGATGCATTAGCAGCACAGTCAGCCCCAGCACAGCTTCAGGTACCTCAATCAGTGGAGGATTCATTGAAGGAGCTTCTGGACAACGAGAAGAAGCTCCTGGACAACCAAAAGAAGATCTTGGAGACTTTGGATACTCATGGCAAGGTGATCAAGGATCTGGGCAAGCGGGTAAAGAAGATGAGAAAGACTCAGGCCTCAAAGGAGTCAGTGGAGAAGCTGAAGAGGGAAGTAGAAAAGTTCACTTTTGCTGGAGATATCCCACTTGACTTGCTTTTGGAGGAGACTGCCCCAGCAGCACAGGCAGCAGAGCATGAGCCAGATAGAGCTCTAGTTAGAGGATTTGTGGTCCCCCAGTCAGAGGATTTGGAGATCCAGTTAGAGGACCCGGAGGGAGCTGATGATCCTATGCAGTCCGAGGACTCCACTCATGTGCCTGACCCCATGCAGACAGAGACCACATAGGGAGTTTTCTTTACTCTTTAACCCTTCCCTGATCTTATTTTGGTATTAGCACTGAGGACAATGCTGTCTTTTATTTTGAAGTGCTATAAGGATCAACAACTGACTATCCCGAGCTCGTTTTAGGCATTTTTCCAATGCAGCCAAGAATTCCAATGTTTTCAGTCTATTATCAAAGTACTCCTCAACAAGCTCAAACAATTCTTGAGTATTCCATATGTCCTTCTTGCAATCCAGTATAACCTTCACAACTTCCTGATTCATTTCCAATAGGGACTCGGTTACTTGTTTCAAGGAATCAAAGGAGAGTGCTCTAACTTCAAACCCACCAACCAAGGTGTTGATAGCATGGCTGGTTCGAGCTTGTAGAGTTGCATCGAAGGACTGCAGATCAGCGTCAAGCCTGCACGCGGCTTCATATGAATTCAGCTCAGTTATGTAAGGTAGACTCTCTAATGTAGTTTCACCTGGATTTTTGCTCATGTGCCTTCCCATGGTATAATCTCAATTCAGATTCAGGTTCTACATAAACAACAAGAAAACCAGTTCAATAAATATCTAAACTTAAGCAACTATATATTCTTTACAAACAAACCCCAAAGCTAGTAATCCTCCTCTAAAGCTCTGATTAAGATTACAATTTTGCAAGGGACCTCGCCTCCTTGATTTGTGCTTCTAGATCTTCTGTTAGAGTCTTTTCCATTCTCATGATATCCTTTGAGATTGGTTTCCTGCGAGTAGAATTAAGTTATTGTTTATTATTAAAATCCAAATCTAACAATAGCATCCATATATCGGCGACGCATATCACTAGGACCTCCGATAAATGATATCGGAAGTATTACTCTCTGACCAACTTTATCTCCTCTATATTCTCCAGCCATGATACTATCGACTATACCTTGCAATATTTCCCTTCTAAAATTTGATTGGTCAAATAGGAAATACTCAAGTCTCGTTATTTCCAATTTGATGTACATGTTAACCACAAATTGTTGCAATAGTAGTCCACATAGTAGCAGTATGGACTTTTTTCCTCTACGAACTTGTATTTTATAGCAGTAGTACTCTCTACAGAACACACAACATTTAACTTCACATTGTACACCTACAAAAAGAGTTATGTTTTGAGATTATTTCAAGAACAAAGAAGTCTAATATGCTATCCCCGTGCTATTGAGAGCGATAGAATAAGGGGAAAAGTTACTGCAATATCAAAATATAGTTATTAAACTAATCTAAATACAACATACATTATCCCTTTTTGTTCCTTAGATATCTTTTTCATCACCAATTATGGAAAAGATATGGACAAACTTGTTACCCAAATTAAATTAGAAAGAGAGATAATTAAATAGAAATTGTTTCTGTAAGTTTAATATTTCAACACCAAAGGATAATAAAATAGAAATTGTTTCTGTAAGTTTAATATTTCAACACCAAAGGATAATAAAATAGAAATTGTTTCTGTAAGTTTAATATTTCAACACCAAAGGATAGCTAAAAATTTATCATCTTCATAGTTCATTTATATAGACTAAGCAATGAGAAAGACTAAGGATTATCTATGTGGCTGTGACAGCGAGAGAAACACATCAGAAATAAGAAATCTTGTATTCATGCTAACATAGTCAATTAAAAGTGAAAAGGGGAAAAAAATCAGATGCTTCAAGAATAGGATAACAAACAGAAGAAGCTTAAAGATTCTCAAGGGAAAGAAGTTACAGGATAAACATAAGATGATATGTAATTTTAAGTTAAAGAAATTGGAGAAATGCGTAAGTTATTTGTAATATATACTTTACCTTGTTGCTCTCTTCTAATCACTTGTGAGGGTTGAGATGCTTTGGTTGATGGTTGCTACATCACTTGTGCCCAATCCTGCGTTTGATGCACGTATTTTTCGTACTCCTTGATGCCAGCCTACTTCGCTATTTGGAAAAAGTATAGGATATTGTAGTAGATCATAACATCCATAATAATGTTTCACTCTATGTTTGTTTCGAGAATGTTCATGAATGATAATATCTCTCTCGAATGGTACATTTGGATTGTTTTCATCTATCCAAATTGCATCAATTTGATCTACCGAGGGTTTATTGTAAACACGTTGATCTAGTGTCGCACTTGCTGCAATTCGAATTTGTAGATCTTGAAATTCCGAATGATCCTTTAGCTGGAGAAAGAATTATGCATAAGGATTCCCATCCATTATCTGCATGATTCTTTTCACAATTTTCTCTCATAAATCTGCTTCTTGTAATTTTGATATCCTGTTGCATAACTCATTGTCTGTGTCAAAAAAGTATAATTGAAAATAACCTGGATTGTTATCGTGTGGGAGCAATGATGGAAGATCGTGATATATTTTACCCTGTGCTTTAAAAGTATAAACTCCTTTCCTTGTGGATGCTAGTTGTTTGTCAAGTGTAACACCAAATGACGTAAATACAAAAATGCTATTGCATGCTCTAATATTTCTCTGAAACTCTTTAGCTTCTTCTGAATGGGAAACAAATAACTCATATAATTGAGCTGGAACTTTAGGATTTGCCATTTTGATAGATCCATTTCCACAGCAAAATGTTGGAGGCTCATATTGAAACCTTACAGCATGGCAGTGGATGCATTCTGCCATACTTTTGAACTTAAGAGTATGTGATATTGATGGTTTATATGAAAATATATTGGATCGAGGAATTTGAGTAAAATTATATTAGGGTTTCAACGCATGGAGAGAGGATATTTTCATTTGTGTGTGTTGAGAATGAGCCAAAAATCTGATCGATCTTTCTAGATCCCCTATTGTGTATATATACAATAGGCCACAAAATCGGGTGCCCAAATACAAATAAAGACCATGCACTAAGTAGCAGGCTAACTATAAAGAAGCTAACAATGATTACAAAAATAGCCAAAAATAAATACAATAGGCTATTACACAGTTAGCCACTAATGTCACTAATTTTATGTTTGGGACTAGAAGCTAAATACTCCATCATGCCAACACCCCCCTCAAGTTGGAGGGGGGGGACCACATGCAACTTGGATAGGAAATAATGATGTAGAGTGCCTCGCAGTGGCTTGGTAAGTAGATGAGCCAACTAGTTGGTGGTAGGAATATGAGATAAGTGGATCAGCCCATCACTCAGCTTGGTCCGGATGAAGTGGTAGTCACGTTCAATGTGTTATGTCCGTTCATGAAAGACTGGATTCTTAGATATATGGAAGGCAGCCTGATTGTCACAAAAAATAGATAAAGGAACCATAATAGGCACAGCAAAATCAGCCAATAACCTAGAGAACCAAGTCAATTCAGCAACCACTTTGCTCGAAGCCCTGTACTCAGCTTCAGCAGAAGAGAGGGAAGCAATGGGTTGCTTTTTGGACTTCCAACTGACCAGACTGTTCCCCAGAAAAATACAGAAACCAGTGACAGACCTGCTGGTGTCAGGGCAAGTTGCCCAGTCACTGTCTGAATATGTAGTGATAGAGAAATTAGAAGAATCAGAATGAAAATAAACCAATATCCATAGTGCCTTTGAGATATCTTAGCACAAGACGAGCAACAGCCATATGAGGAACCCTTGGGGATTTTAGAAATTGACTTAAATGTTGAACAGCAAAGCAAATATCAGGTCTTGTATGGGTGAGAAAGAGCAATTTGCCTACCAGACTTTTATAAGACTCAGAAGCAGGCAATAAAGCACCAGAGTCAGCATGCAATTTGGTATTCAAATCCATGGGACAGACCATAAGAGTGACTGCAGTGCAGGCAAACTACTGAAGAAGATCTGAAACAAACTTGTTTTGATTGAGAACAACCCCACCAGAAATAGAACAGACCTCAACACCTAGGACGTAATGTAGAGACCTCAGATCTTTGATCTTGAATTGGGAATCCAAGAACTGCTTCAAAGAGGTGATTTCAACAGTATCATCCCCAGTGATAATAATGTCATCAACATAAACTACCAAAAGAACCATATGTCCGGGATTGCCCTTGACAAATAGGGAATAGTCATTGAGGGAATGAGAGTAACCTCTAGAATACTAATCCTGAGAAAGTTTGGCATACCACTACCTAGAAGCCTGCTAAGACCATTGAGAGATTTCTTTAATTTACAAACAAGAGGTACAGAAGTAGAAGGAGAGGAAACAGACAGCCCCTGGGGCAACTTCATATAAACCTACTCATCAAGATCCCCATGAAGAAAAATATTATTGACATCAAGTTGAAAAAGAGACCAATGTTTCTTAACAACTACAGCTACTAGACACTTGACAGTAGACATTTTAACTATAGGGGAAAAAGTTTTTGTATAGTCAATACCTTCAACTTTAGTATTACCCTTTATGACAAGTCTAGCCTTGTATCTCTCAATGCTACCATCAGCCCTGTATTTGATTTTGTACACTCATTTACATCTAATAGGCTTCTTGCCAGCAGGGAGAGGAACAACATACCAAGTCTGATTAGAATCCAAGGCTTCAAACTCTTTTCTCATGGCATCTTGCCAAGTTGGAACTAAGGCAGCCTGAGAGTAATTAGCAGGTTCAAACTCTAAGGGTTGGGAAGAGGAATAAGCTGCAGAAAAAGAAGGTAGTTTGCATACATAATTCTGAAGGTAGGAGGGAGCAATGTGTTGCCTGGAAGATTTCCTAAGAGAAGGAGAAGGGGAGGAAGTTGAAGGAGAAGGTATGTCAGGATTGAAGGGTACATGAGAAGAGGCATGAGGAGCAGGAGGAGAACGACTAAGGGAAGAGGTAGAAAAAGGTGAGGAAGAAGAAGGAGGATCAGATGCAGGATCAGTAACAGAAGTATGAGGAGGAAAAAGTGTGATAGGAACATCACTAGGAGGAGGAAGTATGACACTGGATGGAGGAGGATCAAAAGAAGGAGGAGAAGTTTCAAAACGAAAGCAATATTCATGGAAAACAACATCCCTGGATATAAAACATTGCTTGGTATGTAGATTGTAAAGCTTATAGCCTTTCTTGGCAAAAGGATATCCTAGGAAGACACAAGGAATGGCTCTGGGCTGTAGTTTATCCCTGTGAGGAATTGGAACAGTAGAGTAAGCCAAACAACCAAATACCCTCAAATGTGAGTAGGTAGGTGGCTTGCCATACAGAACTTCATATGGGGATCTATTCTGAAGAACTCTAGATGGAATTCTGTTGATCAAATAAGTTACAGTTAACAGACAGTCCCCCCCAAAACCTGATAGGAAGTTTGGACTGGAATAATAAAGCCCTACATGTTTCTAGAAGGGTTTTATATTTTCTTTCCACCACATCATTTTATTGAGGTGTGTGGGAACAAGTTATTTGGTGAATTATCCCAAGTTCAGCAAGGTAAGAAGAATGAGCTTGACTGGATCTCAATTCCAAAGTATTAGCACTCCTAATAGTTTGGACTGACAGTTCAAATTGGGTGTGAACCATGGCTAAGAAAGCTTTGATTAAGGAGAAGGCATTACTCTTGGATCCTAATAGGTGAGTCCAAGTAGCTCTAGAGAAATCATGAACAATTGTAAGGAAGTATTTGGAACCAGAAGATGTAGGTGTGTGTTAAGGGGCCCATGTATCAATATGTATCAATTAAAAAGGTCTAGTAGTGCTAATAGAGCTATCAGGAAAGGGGAGCCTAGTTTTTCTATCCATAGGACAAACAGAACAAGGAAAAGATTATCTAGGTGGAAAAGAAGTTGACAGAACAAATATATTTTTCATAGGAGTAAAAGGAATATGTGCTAGTCTTTGATGCCAAATGTAATCCAAATCATTTAGAACAATATTAGTACATGGTAATATTTTATTAGTGGAAACAGTACTGCCAGAATTACATTGAGAAACATTTCTAGAACTACTGGAAGAAATATTATTGCACGAACTAGGAACAGAGTTAGTAGAAAATGGCACTGAGTCTGCTGGTCTTTTCCAAGCAAGCTTGTACAAGCCATCTTCCTCTTTACCAAGTTCCAGAGGCATCTTCAGAGAAGGGGACTGTAGCATATGCAACAAACAGGAAGTAGATATAAACAGTACTATACAGTGCAACTGTAATATCAACTTATGAACAGAAATTAAGTTGTGTTGAAAGGAAGGAACGAATAAAACATTGTGTAGTGTAATAGAAGGAGTCAAAGCAAAAGATCCTGTTAAAGTTACTTTTACTTTGTACCCATTAGGAAGAGTGACAGGATAGGGTATTGTCAAGGGAACAATATTAGAAAGCAAATCTCTGTTAGAAGTCATATGATTAGTTGCCCCTGAATCTATTATCCAGGAGATAGAATTAATGTGTGTGAGCATGCAAAGTTTAAAATTGGAAACAGGACTCTCAGTCAGCATAGTACCAGCAAAATTTGCAGAACACATGAGGTTGGATGAAGAACTGGTGGATTATCCCAAGTTGGAGTGTTGTATTAGACTGATCAATTGTGCATATTGTTGCTTGGTCAACCCTGGAATGATTGAATTCTGAGTTTCAATAGCAGAAGTAACAGGAGCTGGATGGACACCCTCATTGAAGTTGGAAGCAAAATCATGACTGTTGAACTCAGGGTTACCATGTTCAGGACCAGCAGCACTGTGAGCAGCACCTCTTTTACCCTTGAACACCTTAGAATTTTGTGGAAACCCATAAAATTTGAAGCATTTATCAATTAAATATCCAGACTTCTTGCAGTACTTATAGAACAGAGTCACCTTATTCTAATAAAAATTTATCCTTTGAGGATACTGCCTGGGAGGAGGAGGACTATGATTGAAAGCTGGGACAGGACCAATACTAGGATGAGGACCCATTTTTGCAGTAGTGTTCACATTGAAGGACATTGAATCAGGGATAAATTGGGAATTAGGTGAAACTTGTCTTTGTTTTTCGTCATTAAGCAAAATATTATAAGCACTGTTAAGAGTTGGTGGAGGATGCATCATAAGAAAGTTTCTCCTGACACTCACATATACCTCATTTAAACCCATTAGGAATTGAAAAAGCTTGTTCTCCTCATCCTCTTGTTGAATACTGGGCTTAGCAGCACAAATGCACCTTTGTGCATGATTGGTGCAGATTACCCCCAGTTCATCCCATAGTTTCTTCAGTTTATTAAAATAGGAGGCTATGTCTAGTGCACCTTGAGAGGTATAGGCTAATTCATGCTTAAGTTCAAAACAATTTGCCCTATTTGTAGTCTCATACCTAGCTTGGAGCTGAGTCCAAATACTTTGAGCAGTGTCAGAGTATTGCACACTCTCCGTTATTTCAGGGGAAAGAGAACTGGTTAACCAAGAGATTACCATATTATTACATATGTCCCATATTTCTGTTGAGGTCCACTAATGGTTGGTCTAATGCATGTACCATTTACGAAGGCTATTTTATTTTTCGCAGAAAGGGCAACTATCATCTTCCTCTTCCATCCCCTAAATCCACTGCCCGAAAATGGAACAGGAACTAGAGAAATTCCGGGAATATCAGAGGAATGAACAAACAAAGGGTTAGAGGGATCAGGAGAAAAGGTCTCAGGTGTTCCCATTACACCGTTCGTCTAATACCTAACTAGTGAGTTCAGATAACGTTGTAATCAAATAAATTTTAGAAATAAAGGAATGAGTTTACCATCCTTCTTCGCTACGGAGAAGAACAGCCTTCAAAATTGGATTTTATCACCCAAGCTAAATCGAGCAAACCCTAATTGCTTCACCGCCCAAATTAGGACCAAAATCGAAGAGCACACGTCGAAAAATAACCCAAACGTTGAGAAGAAAGTCCACACACCGGTGGAATCTAGCTAAAGACGAACGATCAACTCGAATCTCAAAAAAAAATTCGAACCTTAGAAAAAAATGCGATGACCGAAAAAACTTTCAGACTTCGACTACACAAAAGCGGGGTAGGATAGGGACGTTGAGGATCCATGAGAGAAGTCAGAAACACCCGCTCTGATACCATCATGAAAACATCTTGGATCGAGGAATTTGAGTAAAATTGTATTAGGGTTTCAACACATGGAGAGAGGATATTTTTATTTGTGTGTATTGAGAATGAGCCAAAAGTCCGATCGATCTTTCTAGATCCCCTATTGTGTATATATACAATGGGCCACAAAACCGGGTGCCCAAATACAAATAAAGATCATGCACTAAGTAACGGGCTAACTATAAAGAAGCTAACAATGATTACAAAAATAACCAAAAATACATACAACGGGCTATTACACAGTTAGCCACTAATGTCACTAATTTTATGTTTGGGACTAGAGGCTAAATACTCCATCATGCCAACATTATAAGAGATTTCTCCTAAATATATGTTGATTAAATTTATCAGTTGTGAGTAAGGAAAGAAATATATATTGACAAAGTAAACATAAGTTGCAATATAAATTTTTAATAAAAACACAGAAAACTCACATAGAATATTACCTTCACTTCCTGCTCGATCATTTGATAACGCCTTGAAGAGCCAATACGTTTTAGGTTTGTTTGTGGTATGTACTGATTGATTCCAAGATATTAATTTTAATTTGGAACCTTCTCATTGCAGAGTCTAATTGAGAATTTTCTACAATTTAAAATATAAAGTTCATATAAGGTAGAATAATATAAGAATTCCTTATGACATAGTCTATCAGTGTTAGAAGGGGAGTGAGTAAAGTCAAAAGAACCACAGACCAAATGCATATATAATAGCTTTAAGAGAGGAAAGAAGCCAAAAGGTGTTGTTACGTCTTCTG